TGGAACTTTTAAATTGATCAACAATTTCCTATGAAATTGAAAGTATTGGAAAATTATGAAGTATTTTTTTATTTTATTTTAAAAGCTTTATGTGCTCTGTACTTCAGCGCCTAAGCAGTGATTCGTATTAAATAATTCAAGAGATTATATCTGATAAAGACTTGGATTACATAATAACAGAGCTAAGCCCCTGTAAGAGGCTACTTCAAAGAGCCGTGGCTTTGCAAGTCCCTTGTAAGGCCTGCATATTTCCCCTTTGTAAGGGCGCCTTAGTCTTCACCTTATTATCCTCTCAATGAGGACACCTGCCCCCAAGGACAGCCGCTTTAGTCCTTAGCAACAAACCTCATCATATAGTAACTATACTATACTTATAGTTACTTATATTACTATAATGGGCATGTTTATATGTATTTATATATACCGAAACGTTTGAAATTTGAAATATTCTACCTAGTTCTGATCTTTTCCGCCAAAAATAATGTTATTTTCCGATCCACTCTAATTTAAGGTTAAGACTGGTAATACCGCAGGGTATAGCTGTAATATTTATATTTTATGGCAGCCATGAGCGTCTTTGGCTCTAGTACTCTCTCTCAGCCTCCACTGGATTCTCATACCGGTGACGTGGCCGAGAGAGGAACGCTGAGATCTCTTAGAGTACACGAGTCAGGTAAAGGGAGAGACTTGTAACTCACCAGGCTGAATGTAAATATTTATTTCGTGGCACAAAAATGAGAAAAAAAGATTACCAATAAGATTCAAGTGAAAAGCAAATAAGTTTTTATTACCAGATTAAATTAGTTATTTCAACGAAAAAACTCACCATTTCTAAATATTTTCGCAAAAAAAAAATTGTAAGTTGGGATAAAATGAAGCCAGTTTTTGACGAATATTGATGTTTTGATAAATATGTGTCTATACCGCGGATTAATTGTAAAAAGGTATGGATGTGTTTTATGATTTTTTTAATATTTTATTTTACAGTTTCATTTCAGATTTTCATTCATAATTTTTCTTCTAGTTAAAATGTTTCTTTTGATTTTTTGTTATTGTCTTACTGTGCAATTGCACCGGACGCCAACCGGGGTACCTGCCATTCATTGGGAACAGAAATTGTTTATTGAGAAATATTACAATCAGTCTCAATCAAAAACATTTATAATAGTATTCATACTCTATATACAATGAATAAAAATAAATTAAATAGCAAAACAATATAACTAAAAATAAATTTATATAAACAAAAAAATAAATAAACTCATCAAAATAACAACTTAAATATGAGCATATTTTTATACAATATTTACAAAATTCAATCGTTCAGAAAATCTCCGAGCAAAGCCTTTTCCACGTGGAAGGAAATGCAGAACTACGAGATCCCAGCTCCTCTTACTCAACCGCATTACTGGTATTGAGAACCAGTGGAGGTTAATCAGAGGCGCTGTAGCATTTTATATACAGCAAGGCATACATGGCTTGAGTGGAGAATCTGGCCATTGCCAAAACTCCAATATATTCTTATTTACAAAACGTCTCTGGGCCATTGCCGCTTCAACCATCAAGGATTATAGAGATTTTTGGAAGGTGATAAATAGGAATTTTGCAAGTGGATTTGGGTGATATGTAAGGTTTTTATAGAATTTATAATTTTTTTCTGGAATAAGGTCTAGGACAAATAGAATATTGAGGTCATGGTGCAGTTTTGTTGGTCATAAGTATAAAAAAATAAATTACAAAGTTTATGAGAACAATTAATTTTAGCCTATTGATAAAATAACTGAACTAGAGATATATTAAGTAAAATAAAATTCAAATATCACTTAAAATTATTTTTTTTATGGATAAATTATGTCATTATCCGGAGGGCAACCAATTAAAGGATCACTGTGGTATAATTTTATACTCAGTAAGAATGTGTCACATAATGTTTTAATACTTAGCATGTATTATTTCTTATAAATATATTATGCCGTTACATACAAGAGTGGAATTATCAATTCCTTGATTTATTCTATTTATTTTTTTATGTACTCTCTATCATCTTCCTCCATCGATATATAAAAAAAAAAAGTAGGACTTCTTTGCCATCTCTTTGAAATATAAGGATGTCGGTGAATGTAGCGTTCCACTTAATATTCAATCAGAAATTATTCTCCATAAAGGTAGAGATGGAAGGATGCGGGTAGAGATATGCCAAATAACAGTTATCCTTCGACATACTTGGCCATATCTACTCTCGTGAATACACGAACTCGCAGTTGATAGTTTGCGAGTCGTGTCTATGAATGCTTCTGATCTCAAACCCATAAAAAATGAAACTTTATATTTAAGAATTCATTTGTTTAATGTAGTGATTTTTTTTCCTACTTTCTACACTAATAGAAGCAACTTTCCAACCATGGTCAACAGGAAAAACAACGTACGACAATAGAAGAAAGTGTATGTGGTTAGAGCTGAAATAGCATAGCCATTGTTATATAGATTATACAACAAGTAGCCTTATTTTGTACTTGAGGTATTCCTGCTTCTATGGATGACGTTATTTAGAATCACTAGCGGATCAAGGATTTAATTTTTGGAGGTAGGACTTCAGCCCGATAGATTTTTTTCATTTATATAACGATAATCAATTTGAAAAAAAAATATCTGGTGTGTCCACTCACACGACTTTCCTACCTATTTCAGAAAAGTTTTTATATCTTTACATATGTTCATGAAGAAACAAAAAAGAATTGAACTAGATTTATTTTCCTGAAAATTGATCAAAGAAAAGATTTGAGTACGATTTATTTGATAAACTAAAGCAATGTAAACCGGCTTAAGGTAGATCAGTGTAAAAATTTCATGCTCACTAATATTGCTGATCAAAAACTTTTTGCCATTGCTTAGCAATGTCAAACAATAATTTCTGTTAAAAGTAGATGAAATATGAACCCGTAATCTTACATTGGAAATTGAATAGCTGTAACGTCATTAATAGTTGTCCAAACGATTTTTATATGGCTTTGTAGGGAATTTCATTTTTTCGGAGCTCAGGGGGCTCTAAAAGGTATAGATGAAATGGTGTTTAAGTGATTCTTGATGTCCTATCAAATGTAATTTAAACAAGAATACTTTAAGAGATAGTGTTTTTTTCCTACCGCGTTTCCCAAAATCTGCGCATATTACAGCTAAGACTACTTAAACTTTATTTTATATTATATATTTTCTTCCATAATAGTTACCGTTATTAAAAAAAAAAAAAAAAAACCAAGCCTCTAAAAATTTAATTCTGAATTCGCTACTGGTGAGCATTTGTGAAAAAAATACAAAAAATTGATTCGCCTAGTGTAGGAATTTTATTCCTTAGTAATTAAAAAAATTAATCTCGTTCGAATCATTGTGATTATCTGATTTTTTTTTTCGTCCCTACGCAATCCGTCATAGTAAGCAGATTCCGGAGTAGTTGTATAAACTATGTTGTTGTTTTTTTTCTAAATTTTAATCTGAAAAACAACCAACTCTTCCTCGCTACAATCATGAACGTTATTCAAGTTAATAACTTAACTGTTCACAGGATGCATGTAATTAATAGATTTAATAGCTCTTTTTAAGCGATGGTTAATCGATTTATCGAAGGAAGCGGAAGAAAAGAGTTGGCCGACATTGACCCAGTGAGTGTAGCCCAAGCAATTAGCACTCTAACTGTCGTGTTGTGTTGGTACCGTTCTCCGCTGCCTTCTATATCGCTTTTATTGCTGTTTTGTTGGCGGCTCTGCACTAGCCATTACCTCCCTCAAATGTTGACTTCCAATTAAAGTGTTTTTTTTATTATTATTTATGAAATTTATAATTGTATAAATTAATATACATTCAGGAAATGTAATACAGGGAAATACATGACATGCCAAGGCTTGTAGAGAATCTTCTTATTGGTAGCACCACTAGCGGATCCAGAATTTAATTTTGGGGGGGGGGGCTTCAGCCCGAAAGTTGTTTTTTTCATAAAAATAACGATAATTACTTTGGAAAAAAAGAAAGAAACTAACTATCTGTATGAAATTGTGTTTAAGTGATTCCTAAAGCCCTTTTAAATGTAATTACACGAACAATAATACTTTAAGAGATACTTTTTAAATATATTTTCGATAAAACATGGATATATTTTACCATTTTGGGGGGGGGGCTTCAGCCCGAAAGCCCCCCCCCCGTAGATCCGCCCGTGGGTAGCACTCTAATATAGTATCTAAATTAGGAGATCACGAGGCCATCTTCTTTTCATAATTCTAGGAAAGTTATCAGAGATCGAGGAGGAAGCAAGGTTAGAAACGAGGTTCCTAATCGGAAACTTATGGAACAGGCCATTATGGATTATTTTATTTGTTGCATAATAACGAACATTGAGGATTTTGGATTGTAAAGACTGGATACGAGAGAAATTCGATGGTTTAGTGGAACGCCAAAGCTCAACTACGCAAGCCCAAATAGGTCTCATAATAGTCATGTATATGTGTCTTTTGTAATTATTTGAAAGGTTAGAGCGTTCCGAGTGGTAAAATAGTCGGAAACGTCGAGCGGTTTCTTGTTGTTTGAGGCTGGTATGAGGATTCCAAGTTTGACAGAAATAATATAAACAAAAACAAAATTTTCAAGTTAGTTCCAGACCAACTACCTGTATGTAGAGGGCGCAGCTCATCCCCTTCTTGAGTATAACCTCTCCGAGACATGGGCAAATGCTACTTTGAGTACCGAACACTTAGTATTTTACTCAAATCACTATTGGGAATTCAGTCACTACTTCAGTTAATCCTTTGACATCAACTGAAGTAGTAGTTGAATTCTTTGCTACTCAATGAAGGTCAGTATTTGAGTAAAGGTACTCAATACTCGGAGTAGCATTTGCCCATCTCTGACCTCCCCTCATACAAAGGTATCCTTTAACTTGTGAGCTATACACTATTACTACATTCTTTACGATTTTTTACATAATAGATAAGTAAATTTTCTCAAAATTTTCAGATGAAAGTTGTGCTCCTGCTGCTGGGGGCAGCGTCCCTGGCGAGTGGGCAGAGCAACTACGCCAGCCAAGGAAACAGCATCGAGTACAGCAACGAGGGACTACCGGATTCGACGGTCCTCGATGGAAGGGTCACTAAGCTGGACGACCTGTCCCCGGTCATATCCCTCAACAGGACCAAAGCTTCCCTTAATTGCGCCGCTGGACAAATGCAGGTATATATATATGTATTTGTTTATGAGGTGAAATATTTGAAATAATTATATCTTCTGCTAACAAATCATACTAAATAACATTCGGATTTTAGATCGAACTGCGATTCGACGAACCATTCTACGGCATCGCTTACGCTGACTTCAACCGAGCCAGTGCCTGTCAGACGACTGGAACAGGAAACCTCACCGCTAGAATTGACCTGCCGCTGAAAGGATGCGGAACCAAACAAGTAAACTTTTCAATCAATTAATATCACTATTGTATAATTGTTATGTTTTCCTGATCAAATATCGTTTGATCGTAACGTCGATGTCTTTGGTTGATAGGATCCTCAGCGCGTGTTCACTAACAACATCGTGGTCAGGTTCCACCCCTCGTTGGAGATGGATGGGGACGAGGTGATAACCATCGTCTGCAGATATCCGCCTCCGGTTGCACCGCCTCCAGCTGGAGTACCTGGATATATGTAAGTATTCACAATATTTTGAAATCACATTGCATTTATCCTAATGTATTCTGGAAATTGGAAAGTTCCAAAAAAAAAAAATCTGATCAAATATATAATGGTCACTAAAAGTATTCTAATTGTGGATTAATAGTTGACTGTAGTGAATAATTGAATAGAAGAATGTTTGGGTTGATCAGTGAAAAGAAAAAATAAATAATTTTATTTATTTTTATATTTGCCGAAGTTCAGGCCTTCATCAGGGCTAAGAAAAAAATAAAAGATAACAATAGGTATGAGAAATTATAAACATTGAATAATAAAGGATTAAAATTAAAAAGGTGGAAGGTATAAACTAAAAAATGTAGGTAGAATAAACTTAAAGTAAAATAAAGTAGGTAGAATTATAACAGTGACAGAAAACTAAGTAATAAATAATAACGGCAACAAAGAACCGAAGAAATGAAAATGAATTAACAACGTCGAAACGTCGGCAAATAGAAAAATAAATATAGTTATTTATCTCCACATATATTATTACAGTAAGGCTCGAAATCGGTTTTGTACCAAATATAAGGTCCTGTTACGCTCAAATACCATGAATGGGGTACTGTTGAATTAAGAATTTCACGGGGGTTAGTGAATCGTATTCTGCACTTTTGTTTTTCTTTCTAAAATAAATAAAGCCAGTACAAATATTTTGCTATGCTTCAATATTGGAACGGTGGTAGGTCTGTAGATCGATACAGGACAAAATGGGCTTTGAACATATTGAAGCGTACAGCAAGACTCTGCGTTTTAAAGTCCAAAAACGTACTATTTTCAGGATAACGCAAGGCATAGTGTTCGCATCCACACAACCTTATGTTAATTGTAGTACTGTCATTGAATATATGTGTCATTTCGTCGACTTGAGGCCCATATATTCGAGAGAGGAGTTTATATTATTTATCGATGGTGTTTTTGATCGGCAAGCCATATCATCGTTAATTCATCACCAAATCCCAAGATTGAGCCACCAATTTGGAAGGCTTCCTTCAGGCGGACAAAATAGTCCAATCACCACAAAAATCCAGGCAAAAAAGTTATGAAAGAAAAGAAACTTTATTTGCGAATAACTAAAAAATTACACACTTTTTCCTTGGTTATGCCCATAATTATGTAAAAGATTACTAAATTCCCTACAAAAGGAAAAAAAAAAATCAACGGAATCGGACAATTTTTAGCAAAGATACAGCTTATTGAAATTTGTAAAAATTGTTGGTTCCAAACATTAATGAAGTTTTAAACTAATTTTTGTTTCCTTTGTTAATTATATTTATCGATAAAGTAACAATTGATTTCTTTATCTTATGATACGTTGCATTATTTTATTTTCTTATTAATATGGCATTTGATCACTTAATATGCTATGAATATGCTATGCGAATTTTTCGCACGGGCCTACTAGTTTTTATTATTTTTTATTTTGACTGATTATCCCCACCATTTTTCTCTTCAATTAAAAGTATTCTAATTATGCTTTCATTCTTTGTCTCACAGAAAAGAAGACCCGGTACCCGCTCTCCCTCTGGCACCGCCATTGAAAGGATTCCAAATACTCTTGATCATCTGCGGAATCCTCTTCCTCTCCCTGGTCCTTCTGGGACTGGGTTGCTCCTACTACCTTTTGAGGAGGAGGAGGGTTCAGGTTGTGAGAAGGCATCCTCTGTCTACGGGAGGTACAGGATCCGAAATCACTAAACTGTCTGGATCCAGTCTGGGAAATATTTCCATGTTCGAAGGTCTCAAGATTCCTCGAGCACATGCCACCGGTGGAGGCAGCACCTCGGGATCCGAAGCTGCTCTCATCAGCGACACCCTACCATCTGACTACCCGTCAGAGTCGCCAAGTTCGACACATTCAGAAGTAGAACATGTCGATAGGAGATCCCTAAGTTCAGGAGGTTCGTATGAGAACAAGGCTTACATACAAGACAGCTACTACACTGAAGAGATAGCACAAACGACTGAATCGCAAATGCGACATCTGGCTCATAAGAGGCTGCCTCCAGAACCTAAGTTTGATGTTCAAGTAAGAGTAAAGAAGGCTGCACCTCCACCCCCAACACCAACACCTCCACCTTCAGAATCAGAAATGAGTATGAAGATGACCGAACGCAACCTGACTACCATCCTAGAAGAAGGAAGACCAGTGAAGACCACTTTCACCTACGTACCCGAAATTCACAGTCCCCCCTCACCAGCCAAATTAGTATCTTCACCTCCAGTGTACTCCACAATAATTAGAAAGCATCCTGCTGAGAGCAAGAATGTCGCCATGGTTGAAGAACGGTACATGAGAGAAGACACAGTTGACTACAGGAGACCATCCGTTGCCAGTGACCATACAGAAATGACTGAATCCAGATCAATGACAGAAGTTGTAGAGCGTATTCCTACCAAAATATCACCTCCACCTCCAATAGTGCCCCAGAGCTATATGAGAGAGAGCATGGAAGAATCAGTAGATGTAATCGAACCTCCAGTAGTTGTGTCTAGAAGACCAGAAATAAAATCTCATGTCGTTGATGATGTCTTCCTTAGAACAATCACAGAAAAGAAGACAATTGAAGACATCGAAAGGACTAGACGACAGGTGACTGATTACCGCAAACCACCTCCTGCGAAGTGGGATGTCACCATTCGCAACTATCCTGGTCCGGAGGGACCAGGGGCTGAAGACTCGGCAACTGATTGGGAAAGCTATTCAGAGACTTCATCAATATCAAACGTTCCAAACATGCAACCTCAATATAGAGCGCATATGCAGAACTGGCAGCAAAGAAGGACAGAAATAGAAATGGAGAATATTTACAGGTCCAAAATGAATACACCACCGCCAGAAAAACCACATAACTGGGACGTACTCTTGCGTGTCCTAGAGCCACCTCAATACGAATCTGCAGACGACAGATCTGACGTAGAAAGTCTCGCTTCAGTTCTCACAATTGATGATAAAAAGAAGTGGCATGAAATCATCACCACAGAATCAAACCTACGCACAATGCTAAGTGAAGCAACAGTCAAAGAAGACTATGAGAGAATCAGAAAAGATCAACGATATGAAAAATTATTCGATCCACAAAAATGGGACGTAATCATCCGAGTGCTTGCGCCACCTGCAGAGAAACCGCAGTATGATCAGCGTGGTGGTGGAGGCAGCAACAAGTATAGGAGGAAGGCCGACTGGGATACCCGCAGTAGAAGGAGCTCACTGCCAACGCTCTACGAATATGACTCCGATGGTGGGTCATCGATGAGGACCTTGACAACGGAAGGAGGACACGGACCTGCCGTGGATCCCCTCCGTTCTCGAAGGACATCCAGATCATCAGAGATGGACCTTCGCTCAATGAGTGAGGTCACTGTTGACATGAGAGCACATATTCCCGACAACGTGAGCGACGTCAGCTCATACTATCAGCGACGGTACTATGAAGAGGACTACGAGGACGCCCGTAGCCTGCAGAGGTCGATGAGCCAGCCTTCCTTGGCCAGGTCTGCGTCCGAGTTCACAGAGCACTGGGCTGTGCGATCCCGCCACTGGGAGAGCCCAGAACACTCTCCCAAATCTGCAAGATCTTCCAGGACCAGAGGGTACAAGGTCTCTGAAGCCAGATATCAGAGAACTTCAGGATGGTTCGGCGATGCTGAGAGTGAAGCCAGCTACAAATAAACGAACGAACGAATGATCCACAACAAACTGAAGAGGAGGTAACCCAGTGATAGACGTACTTAAGTATTGAAATGACCTCACTAACAAAATAATTTTACTTAAGACTTTGCAATTAATTACATAGTTTATGTGCCAAACTCATTTGTGAGTGCTTGTATATTTTAGGTAAATTTAGTATTAACATAGGTTGTATAAATAATGTATAAGTAAAATTAACTGCCAATTTTAGCATAATTTTGCATTTATTGTATAACAGTGCGTTTATTAATTAGTATAATTAATTGAATAACTTCATTAGTCTTCCTATATATTTAATATATAAATTTATTAATGCTCAAAGCAATTTTATTTAATTTCAATATTGTTGACATTGTATGAGTGTGGTTATGTAAATGGAAATCCGTGCAATAAGAAGACATTTGGTTCCTATACAATAGTTTTGGTTTCGTTAAAACGAATATTCTCTGTAAAAAAAAAAAAAAATCCTGTGATAGTGTAATTGTCGGAATGAAACAAAAAGGATACTTGGAGTATGTGGTTTTTGTTAATATTAGTTGAATTTGAAGCTGGCTTTTCATTCTGCCTACTCACTTGAAGCAACACAAGCTCAGAGTGGGACTGGAAAATCAGCTGTATTTTTGTATTTGACATTTTGTCGTTATAATTGTTTTATTGAATATATATGTTTGTATAATGCAATTTTATACGATGCGTTACTGTTACCTAGAATGTGATGGTATGTACTTATATAATAGATCAACATGTCAGAATACATGGTCGTTGAGAAACATATAATTATAAAAGATATGGGGATTCTCATTTCCTCTTGGTGATGGTTTTATTTAGTTTTTCATTTTATAGATCATACCCATTTGTAATTTTTAACTGATAACTGTAATAAATGTATAAGATCCATTCTTAATATATTTCATAAATCGAACTATTTTGAATCAAATTATTTCAAAAATGTACTAAATATTTTTCTTAAATATACCATATTTGTTTAACTCTTATAATTTGTATACCTTTATTTCTTATCCTATATTGTATATTATGTCTGTATCAATAGTTATCATAATAATCACTGGCTGATTTGTGTGAAGAAATACTCCTCTAACTAAAATCACTGGAGATTTAGTTCTGGTCCAAGATGATCAACATTTATTATTTATTAAAGTGTTCAATTTTTGTGATTTCTAAGACATCAAGTTATGATGACATCTTCCACATAATTTAAAAATTAAACCCATACATAATGAAACAAGGGCTAGTAAGAAATAAAATATATTTTTATAAGCATTTTTCTTTCATCATTTATAACATAAGATATAAATATTTCTACTCCTAAACAATAAACAACTGAATAAATAAGAAAAATAGAAAAACAAAAACATTTATTCCATTTCTGTCAATTAGAAACACATTATATAAGCCATGAATTAGATATAAAATACAAATCTAAAAACATTATTGTATACATAAACATGTAGAATAGGCCACTAATGACTAAATTGTATAAGATAATTATTATTATCACAGGAAGTTTTTAACATTAAATATTTAAAATATTGTAAATATTGATAAGATTATAACAGCCAATAAATATTATACTATAACAAAATATTTGTTTAAAAATAATTTGTAAAACTGTTTTAAATCAAATGGATCTACAAACCATGCTTATATTAAAAAGATGCAGAAGAGTTTTTAAAAATTATTAACACTGCATTTTTTTAAAACTATGAAATTCAAATAAGCTTTATAAACATTAATTAAACTCTATGAAATTTAAAAAAAAATTAAAAACAGACACTTTTAAGAAATCAGCAGTATTTCACTGATTGACCATTTTTTGTTAGATGAATAGAATAGAATAGAAAATAATTTTATTCTGGGACCAGTTGATGTCTGAAAACTATCGCAAAAGAATAATGAAGGAACTCAAGGAACGGGGATTATAAGTACTCAATGGAAGGCATTTTAATTATCTTATGTATGATAATGTTTCATGTGTCAAATTATTATACATTTTTTTTAAATGATTAGATAATTTAATAAGATTTTTTTTTATGAGAAGGAGTTAGTCGAGGGTGCGGTCAAATAAATAAAAAAAATTAAAATATATAAATTATTTTAATTTTTGCCGACGTTTCGACCGACTTCAGGGCGTAGGATGTGGCACTGCGGGAGGCAGTTGAAACACTGCAGAAGATTTTTTTTAATTCAACAATTGTATGTTTAAAAAAAAAAAAATTAAATCCTAGTTTTGAAATACTATATATCTTATTTTAAGAAAATGGCACACATTCTTCATGTCACCAACATAATCCCTTAAGTAATCAAGCAGTTTTGACATATTGTACCGCTATATTGACATATATTATATATTATACCATACCGCTGTTTTTGGAAAAATACTTAGGGAAAATGATTTAATTCCTATGGTTATGTTTAATATGCTTATTCAATAAAAAGGCAGACACAGATTTGAAATTACATACATAACACATAAAGTAACCGTCTTTGGCATGATGCTTTATCATGTGATGTAAGGTATTATTTCCCTTATAATCACATAACTTACATTTCTTTCTAGAGTGTGTCCTTTTTTCTTGCTGTTTAGATTCCCTTCTATCGATACTTGGATGATCAGAGAAAAGTTTCTCAGATGGCCGAGTACATGAATGCATGAGTGCCACATGATTTCTCAACTGGGATGACTTGATATATCTGTATGAACATAACGGACAATTATACTCTATTTCATAATTTTTAATATTGGCTTTAAGTTGAGTTTTTTTCTTATATTCATCATCAACAACTATATCAACCATTAAGCAATGGTGCTGAAAGACACTGGTAGCGTTCTTCTGTAGAGAGGCTTCCAATTCTTTGATAGAGATGAGTTTGATATGAGAATCTAGTGCTCTATAGTTCATAAATTTGTTACTACAATGGTAACAGGAGTATAATACAACTGAATCTGTAACAAAATAAATTTTAAAATAAAATTTTGAGTTACTTTTTATTACATGGAGACAAAAAGTTTACATATTAAAATCAAGATGAAGCATTTTTTATTTAATTCAAATGGCCAATATACATAGTTTATTGAATATCAATTAAGTGATCTCATTAGAAAATTTGTATGTTATGTCCTCAAAATGAGGACAGTTATATAGATAGTTTGAAGTTGAGGGTGAGAATGTATTGCATAAAGCCAAACGCTCCACTCAAATCCCAAAGAGGTGAGCATTTAAATTTAAATAAGATAAGAAAAAATATTTTGACAGTCCTCTCCTCATTTGATCCACATAGCCTTGGAGGGTGATTCCCGTATCAGTCTTGACAATGCAAATCCGTCCTACCTTTTTCTTTGATACTCCGTAGGTCAACTCATTCAACCAATATCATTCTAAACCTGTTACCGAATTAATAAACATTACTGGATGCTCAACTCTTACTTCCTCATCTTCTACTTCACAACACTATGTCTTTTCAACTATATTTCTCATCTATATCTCAGTCAAATCTAGTATAGTTTTGAGTTCAGTTATTTTTTTAATATAAATTTTTATTTTTTTAAATCTCTCCCCTGCCTGTTAGGCAATATGAGTGTTTGCCATAGTAGATAGCTATACATGCATGCGTAATTATCCAATACTGAAATTAAAACAATTATATTTTTCTGCCTATGAAAAGAGCTTACTCTTTATGACTTTTCTGTCCTCCCTGAATCTGCTGTGGCCGAAATTGATTACAATGATCTGATACTTCTGGGAAATATGTAACTACTGTTATGATAGCTACAGTAGATTTTTGAATGGAAATGGATTTTTTTTTTAAACCAAATTGTGGACAAAAATAAGAAAGCTAAAATCTGAGATAAACTAGGAAGGCACTTTACTATTATATGTGTTGAGGATTCAGGAATTCATGAAATTTCTGGTTTCTGAGGATACCTTCCGCTCAAGAAAAAAATAAAATCAGTTTTTTAACCCTTGAGAGTTCTTGCCATACACATTTGAAGAAAACATTAAAAAAGAAATAGCCTGCTCGGAAAAGGAAGGAGTGATTAAAAAAGCAGTAGTTCTAATTGCAAAGGCTCTAGTCATTTTTTGTGGACTAAAAACCAACTGGAAGAGAAAGCTTTGAGTAATTATAAGTTCAAATGCTTCATGAGGAAACCCATGGCTGATTAAGGGTATCTCTTCATATGGTCAAGAGTTACTATGCCAGAAAAACCTTAGGAAGAGGGTGTTGACAGAACTTTACTTTGTGTGGTGGGCGGGGTGGACGAATGGGCTAAAGCGTGTGCACAGCACCGCGAGTTGCCTGGCAACTGGAGAACAAGATTTGAGATGATTTAAAAAGTACGAGTTCGCGTCCCGGTGCCAGAGGGGATTTTAAATTCCCCGCCCTCACCCTCTGGCCCGGGAAAATCCCGTATAGCCTAAAAGGCGAGGTAGGGAAGAAAAAAAAAAAAACTTTACTTTGTGTATGTTGAGATGTCATGGATGAAAACCTTAGCTTAAAGCAATGAAGTGATTGGACATGGAAATAGAAAAATGGAACAGGACTAATTCAACATCTCATAGACCATCACGGAAGCTGGTATTGAAAAGGAGTATTAAAGACTGGAGTATCTTCTGCTCTATAATGGAGGGAAAGCTAGTAGATGATGAATGAGACAGACTGAATTGATGGTCTGGATTATAAGGTGTCACTAATGTCATTTATTCCTTTCATGTAGGAAAATAAAACACTCCTGAAGAGGCTGCAAGAATATTTGTTGAAGTGTCAAGGGATGGCCTGTCCCAAGACAATGAAGATGAAACTTTCATAAAACACACTATGTTAAACTACCTGGAATGGACTTGTACCCACCATGGGATATCTATGATCTCTGTTGTGCTGTGGATAGGCAGAAAGTTGTTCGCTCTCCAGGACTAAATGCTATTGATGCTGCGATCTTGAAGAAGAGTATCCCTACACTGAAC